GGCCTTCAGTGGCCAAAGTTAGCCCTCTTGAAGTCCCAGCTTCTAGTACTCGACCTGCTGCATGTCCCCAGTCCCCTGATCTCAAAGCAAAGGATGGAGTGATCACTCGCATCCAGATCTCCCCTAATCTGTACTTCATCTATCAGCTCCTTCCTATCGGTCAAGATCAAGTCAAGAATGTTTCCCCCCCTCGTCGCTTCTCGGACCCTCTGTGTGAAAAACCCTCCCTCTATAGCTTCTAGGAAGCGACGTGACCTGGCTGTCACCGCCGAGTGAGTCTCCCAACTAATATCCAGGAGATTGAAATCTCCCATAATTACTGTGTCTCTCCCCCGAGATATCCTTAGAATCTGGCCTGTCAGGATATCATCCAGGGTCTCAAGTTGACCTGGAGGGCTATAACATACCCCCACTGTCAGGTCTCTTTCCCTGTCAAAACCCCTAAGTTTATCTTCATATGTCTCTGTTCCTCAGGGTCCTGTTCTATAAATATCAGCTCTTGCTGGTGTTTCTCCTACTTCTTCTGCAAAGGAGACAGACAAAGGATTCATAGAGCTTCTTTGTTTCCCTTTGAGATGTTTCTGGTTGCAGCTGAACTGAGATTTTAGTTAGTGATATGAAGCTCTGCATATGTATGCATTCTGGGTAAATGTTCGTGGTAGATAAGTGCCAGGAAGTTGTGATATATCAACTCAAGACATATTGTTCCTCATGCCCATGAGCTACTGAAGAGCTCCCTGCGGTGAGTTCTGATGAAGAACCGCATGGAACACTGGCAACACCATGAAGCTTTGCAGAAAATGGGGCATTTTTAAGGAGCGTCAATTGAAGGGGGATTCCTCTCCCTGTATCTTTGAGAGCTGTGGCTCATGCTGTCATTGATTACCCCATATCCCAATATGGCAATAACTCAAACACATTCGTCCCCTGAAATGATTGTGGGCCTCCAAGAGAGAGCTTCCTCTTTTCCCAACAGCAGCACCTGCTCTGTGTTCCCAGGAAGGTGGGTGATGCTCATCCAGGCCAGGGGGAGCACAAGAGGTAACTCCCATCCCCGCACTCCTCAGTCCCAGTCCTGATCAGCTCCCACTTGTTTTGGTTTTCTGCTTGTTTTAAGGAATCGTGAATTACATCTCCTTAATTACACAATTGCAACAGGATGTTACACAAACCATCTTCCAAAAGCTGGACAACCTTTCCACTGTAATTAAGCCCATGCTTTTTCTTATGCATCATCTCTAAGGTAGCTAAACAAAAATACAAGCAAATGACAAGGAAACTGCTTCAGCCAATATTACTTGGTAGCCAACCTGCTCCCTTTACCATTTTTAACTTGGGCATGAACAGGTCTTAGCCCAACTCAATCATAGTGGAACAAAGCTGAGTCAGGGGTTCACACTTCCATAACTGACCATGCCACCTCCGCCACACATCTCTACCTTCGTGGCTCTTCCATTCTCTAGTTCAGGTGTGCGTGTCAGCAGCACCTGCCTATCTCATGCCACGGAACTGAATGGAAAAGTGAAGACTGAGGCAAAGAACAGAAAAGTTGGAGTCAAGAAGGTGCAGTGGAACTCAAAGATTTAGGGATCAGTAAAGAGTAAGACCAGGATGGAGTTTCTGAAGGCACCGTTATCAGTGCAGCTGGAGACGCTCACAGAGGTCTGTACAGGGCAACCAGTAGGTGGAATGTGGAAGCAATCTTGATCCGTGGAACCATAAAAAGATGTGACACTCGATTCGCACAAGTCAAAGTTGTTACTTTATCTAAGAAAGATCTTTTTCTATAGACAAAGACCTCATGTTTACCTTTAGCATCACCTTATACAGTTTACAAGAAACATGGATACCATTACAGGCCATGAAGATGTACTAATAGATATGCATAGACATGTTTATTCAGAGATTAGCATACAGCCAGTCTTCCCAATATATGCAATGCACAGTTAGATCCATGAGAGGAAAGCATTGCAAAAGCATCTACCTCTTCTAACCCCACTACATGCATCCCTTCGAGCATGCTTTATAAAATGTGAGAACATCCAACATCTCCCCCACTATATTCTGATGTCAAAATATGAGCACATTAACTTGACAAACAGCTTTAAAATGTTGATTAAATAGGTAGGCAAAATTAACTGTATATTTCACATGCCATGAAAGACATCGATCAGGTTTTGCAAGGACCACATGCCAATTTTCAAATTTGCAAAACAAAAACCAAGATATACATTGAAGTTGCTGCTCAGGAGTCTTTGCATGGGGATTTCCAAACTAACCATGGATTAGATCATCAAAAGACAAACAAGGTTTCTCACTGTGGTGACATGGACAAAGACATCACTGGAAATATTGATTATTCCACCTTGTAGTTTTTGGTTCACTTTCCAGGGTGAGGGTGGCATCAACTCTTTGGATGAGGACTTGGATGGTTGGGAAACGGTGAGTGGGGCATTCCAGACAGCGGTTGGAGAGTGAGACCATCACAAGTTTGTTGTCCCCAGATGCTCAGGCAGAGCATGGGACAGAGTTTGGAAGTCAAGGGAGGGGAGACTTGGGCTAAAAGGAATTGGGCTAAAAGGACTACCCAACAGGAAGTCCCGGGCAGCCCTTCTCCAGGGGGGCACATTCAAAGGGGTGGGGCCCAGCATTACTGAAAAGAAGGTTTTCCAATCTAGGTCCAGGAAGCCACTCTGCTCATGCAGAGAGATGTCTCTTCTTGTGGCTATGGATTGTGAGATGTGAATCTGAAATGAAAAGCTTGCCTGTTGCTTGAAAGGGAGGAAGGGAAACGCAATACTCCACAGGACACTGTGGGATCTATGAGTTAACATGCATAGGTCTAAAATAAGTGGCATAAAGCCATCCTGAAAAGATGGGGTAACAATTTGACATAGCTAAGTGCTGCCTGATTACCTCTGACCAGTGAAATCTTCTCCTTCCAGGTTAATACAGCAAATAAAAGTGCTAGTAGGAAATAGTACTAATTTTGCTCTAAGGGTTAGCACCAGGAAATATGTTTGATAAGAGACAATAGAATTATGAGAGCAAATACTGCCCTGAATTCCACACTGGGTGAGATAGTGCTTCTCTTTTCGAATTGCCAAACTAGTATGGGCTTCTGTTTAAGAATTCGTAATGACTTTATCTTTTCTTTTAATATAGTTTTAACTTCTGTTAAAGTATACTCAGATGCTCTGTTAGCATTGCAACCTTTGGATTTGACCTGTGCTCAGACCTAGAAGGAATAATTTGGACCAGAGGTAAGTGGAAAGAAGGGCAGAGAGATTGTGCATGGAAAACAAAGCATTTGAGATTCCTTCTATCCAGATAGCTCTCAAATCAAAGGAAATATTGTTTTTTATATGTGGGTTTTGCACAGGGACCTGGGGCATGGTAGGGACAGATTTTCAGTGAATCCAGAGATTCTTTTACTAGGATAACATGAAGAGAAAGTAGATGGAGGTCAGTTATGCTTTACTTCCATAATCTGCAAACTGCGGCATGAATTTCGTGAGTAATTTTTTGGGAAAAGAAAGCATGGGTGACCTGTTTGGTTGTGCATGATAAATATCAGACATATTAAATGTTCATGGGAAAAGAAGCACATTCTAGAATGAAGGACTGTCAGTCATTTCAATGTAATGGAGTGATATTAAACTCTTACAGTATTCATGATATTTTAATCATTTCTTACAATATTTTGCTTTGAAAAGCTGTCCATGCAGGCTTCCATCCTCTTTATCTCCCAATTTACTCCGCTGTGGATGTTGGTGAGAGAACTAATGTTAACTTTGGCAAAATGCAGCGAATTGAAAAGGGGGGGGGAGTGAGATTATAGCCATATTGCCCCCTTTCCACACATGGTAAAGCTGTTTCACAGCTTCATAAAGCTGTTTCACAGCTGCCTCTTGCCTCTTCCACCCACTC